TAAAAACACAACCTAAAGGTTCTTTTTTTTTTCCTTTTTCTTCCTACTGTATTATTTGTATGTTATGAATCATATTCTGTACTCTTTGTCTATACCTTGAGTGACATCTATTTAGCCATAAGAACACATCTGTCCTTCAGAGTGAGTTGAGTGTTGAAGTCTCCTAGAATGAATGCATGGCATCCTATTTCCCCTTTTAATTCTGTTAGTATTTGTTTCACATATGTGGGTGCTTGTATGTTGGGAGCATAGATATTTATAATGGTTATATCTTCTTGTTGGATTGACCCCTTTATCATTATGTAAGTCCTAGGAACACTTCCATCTATAGGAGTCCCTCCAAAATGCACTGTAGAGATGGTTTGTGGGAGGTAAATTCTTTCAACTTTTTATCTGAAAATTGTTTAATCCCTCCTTCAAATTTAAATGATAACCTTGCAGGGTATAGTATTCTTGGTTCAAGGCCCTTCTGCTTCATTGCATTAAATATATCTTGCCACTCCCTTCTGGCCTGTAAGGTTTCTGTTGAGAAGTCTGATGATAGTCTGATGGGTTTTCCTTTATATGTGATTTTTTTTCTCTCTCTAGCTGCTTTTAAAAGTCTGTCTTTATCCTTGATCTTTGCCATTTTAATTATATGTCTTGATGTTGTCTTCCTTGGGTCCCTTGTGTTGGGAGATCTTTGCACCTCTTCGGCTTGAGAGACTGTCTCCTTCCCCAGATTGGGGAAGTTTTCAGCAATTACCTCCTCAATGATGCTTTCTATCCCCTTTTCTCTCTCCTTCTTCTGGTACCCCTATAATATGAATATTGTTCCATTTAGATTCATCACACAATTCTCTCAATATTCTTTCACTCTTAGAGATTCTTTTTTCTCTTTTTGCCTCAGCTTCTTTGTATTCTTCTTCTCTAATTTCTATTCCATTTACCATCTCTTCTACTACATCTAATCTTCTTTTAAATCCCTCCATTGTCTGTTTCATTTCATATGTGGAATTTCTTAATGATTAAATCTCTGACCTAAATTTGTTCCTGAGTCCTTGAATATTTTTCTGTACCTCCATAAGCATGTTTATGATTTTTATTTTGAACTCTCTTTCAGGCAGATTGATGAGTTCAGTTTCACTTGACCCTTTTTCTGGGGTTTGTGAGATTTTGGTCTGAACCATGTTCTTTTGATGTTTCATATTTCTGTGTGGTGCCCACTAGTGCCCAGAGGCTCCAGTCTCTGGAGCTGCTCAGCCCCTTGAGTGAGGTTGGGGCTTGTAGGGGAGCAGAGCTGGTACCTGGGGTGAGGAAAGATCTGTTTACTGATTCCCATCTGCGTGCCTGTCTCCCAAGTCAGAGCCAGTGGGCCAAGCACACAGGTGTAAGCCTCTGTGCTTTGCTTCTCTAGCTGTTATAGGCAGGGCCTCCCTCTGGCTGGCCTGATGCCAGCACAGTGACTGCAGGTTTGTGAACCGGTGTTGGCAGGCTAGGAGGAAGGCGCAGCAGGCTGCGTGACACAGTGGGGGGCCTCAGAGCTGAGTAGGCAGCCGGGGGGATGGGGCACCTGAAGCTCCTCAAAGTTCCCAACCAGCTGGGCAGAGCACACCCAGACAACCTTGTCCAGCTCTCCCCTCCCCTGTGCAGCAAGCTCCATGCAAACCCGCTCCTTCAGCAGCCCTCCCGCTGCTAGGAAGCCTCTCAGACTGCCTGCCTTTCCCTTCTTCCAGAGTGGCCGGGTGTGGATCCCATCCTCCAGAAATGGCCAGAATCTGTCTCTCAAGCACTCCACCTGTTTGAGCTCCCCTATGTCCAGAGCACCACACACTGTAGGTTTCTTCCCCAAAAACAGAACTCCAGGGCTGGGTGTTCAGCAGTCCCAGGCTTCCGCCTCCACCCCCGCTCCATTTCTCTTCCTCCTAGTGGTCAGCTGGGGTGGGGAAAGGGCTCGGGTCCCGCCTGATTAAGGCTTTGGTAGGTTACCCTGTTTCGTGAGGTCTGCTCTGTTCATGAGGTCTGTGTGCAGTCTGGTTCAGTCTTCTTTCTTGTTGTTTTAGGGTTAGTTGTATCAATTAACTACATTTTCATACTATCTATGGTTTTGGGAGGAATTCTCCATCTCACCGCTCACTCCGCCATCTTGAATCTTCCCCCATGGAGTAACTTTTTAAACCTATAATTTATTGCATGGCTATCAAAATCATAAAGCTTCGTAATGTCCCTGAGTTAAAAGCATTCATTTGTTAAATGTTGCTATTTCAATCATGCCACAATTTTCGAACCCTGCTTTTGCTTCTCTTTGTTTTTTTTCACATATTATTAAGTTTGAGAAATGGAAATGGCCTGGGCTTTGCAAAAGCCTGCATATATCAGATAGGCTTTGTCCCCTCTTGGCCACAGGAGAATGAAGGAAATGGCCTCTGCAACATGATATGGGCTGCAGCACCCATAGGCTGCCAGGCCCCAAACCCTCAAATGACTCCTCCCCTCCTGACTCACCAAAGCTTTCCCCCAGACATGTACTTATAAAGCACATTCCTTCATTTTTTGCTCAGTTATCCCATAATAATCCTTAGTGGAGGTTGGGGTAAAATACAGAAAGCTGGCAGGAAAGGGTTTCCTAGGAGTGCAGGCCCAGTCTACATGCTGCCACAGACACCATCACAGCAAAGAGGCACCCACCGTCTTTGGGCTTTGTGGCTGTGATGGTTCGTTTTATGTGTCAAACTGGCAAGGCTATGGTACCAAGTTGTTTGATCAAATACCAGTCAAAATGTTGCTGTTGAAGGGAACCAGAATATGTTATCTCAAAACATGACTCTTGGGTATAAAAATTATTTTGAGCTAAAGACACCGATAAAAACCACAGGTGTGGGGAGGAAGCTCTGACTCTCCCCTTTTTCTTCCTTTCCGCATGAGATGAGATGGTCATATGGAAGCTGTCCTCCCTATGCCAGAAGTAAAGTAACATTCCTATCATCAAGGACTGGAAGTTGAGACCTAGAAAATTCCATAAAACAGACATTATTAAAATAATCCTTGCTTCCTTAAGCCTCCCCATATATAGTTCAGTTACTTTTCCACAGTTGCCTCTCTTTGTTCAACCTAGTGTAAAAACATGTGAGTTTTGCCACTTCTTTAGGTCTTCATTTCTTTATGAAAGCTCCTGAATCACGTAAAACTTATATTAAGTAAATTTGTATGCTTTTCTCTTGTTAATCTGTCTTATGTCAATTTAATTCTCAGACCTAGCTGAAATCCCTAAGAAGGTAGAGGTAAATTTTTGCTTCCCCTGCACCAGAAAGGTATTTGTTAGATATGATGAATATTTAATTTTGAATAAAGCACGTTAGCCTCCATCATCTGAGTCAGCTCATCCCATCAGTTGAAGGCCTTACGAAAAAAGATTTCCGAGAGAAGAATGAATTCTCTTCCACATGATAACACAGAAACCCTGTGTAAGTTTCAGCCTGCTGCCCTGTGGGATTCAGACTCATCTCTTTCCCGAATTTCCAGAATGCTGGTCTACCCTTCAGATTTCAGACTTGCCAGGCCTTACAATTGTGTAAGTTAATTAATGTAACAGGTAACATAAGAGAATGAGAGAGAGAGATTTTAAGGAATAAAATAACATGTTTTACAATATGTTATGTATCATATAATGTTATATATTATGTAACAAAATTTTATATACATATACATACATATATAATCTCCCATATTTTCTGAAGAACCCTAGCACAGTGATGAATTTAGTTTGTTTCTGTCAGTCTTCCATCTTTGCTGCCTACCGTAGCACTCTTCGTTTTCTCAATCCAGATTTTTAAAAATTTTGTTTGCTTTAAAACTTGAAAAGTCACCATTTTGGAGTGTACAATTCAGTGGTTTTTTAAATTACATTCACAGGGTTGTGATCATCACTGATATAATTCTAGAACATCTTCATCACCTGTTAGCATCTCTCACCATTTCTCCCTCCCCCTCTGCCCCTGGCAACCCCTTATCTGTCTCTATGGATTGCCTACCTAAACATTTCATATAAGTAGAATCATACAGTATGTGGCCATGTGTGTGATTTCCTTCATTTAGCATAGTACATTCAAAGTTTATCCACATTGAGCATATGTCAGTACTTCATTTTTATGGCTGGATAATATTCAATTGTATGGATAGGCCATATTTTATTTAAATATTCTTTAATCTACAGATATTTGGGTTGTCTCCATTTGGGAACTGTTATGAGAAACGCTGCTATTAACATTTGTGTGCAAGTTTTTGTGTGGACGTGTGTTTTCAATTCTCTGAGATACATACCTAGGAGTGGAATTGCTAGGTCACAGAGTAACTCTTAACTTTTCCAGGAACCACTGATCCGTTTTCCAGAGCAGCTGCACCGCTTTACATCCCCACCAGCAATGTGCGAGTGCTCCAGCTTCTCCATATCCTCGCCAAGTACTTATTATTTCTAGAATCACCCTTCGTTTATCCTCACCAACACTCCCTTAGTCACATTAGTCTTGGAGCTCTACAAACTATTTCAATTAAAACAAAAAACTTCTGTGTGACACTCTAATATTAAAAAATGGCTCGAAGGTACAGTTTCTAACTTTGCCTGGCGAATATTAAGTATTGCAGCTGCCTGGACCAGCGCGGGACTCAATTCACCATCACACCCCTCACAAGATCCCAGGAGGAAAAACCGCTTTGGGAACAAACTGGTCTTAAACAGGTAACCGCCTGAGTAGGTGTAAGAGTAGCATTTGAATAGCATTTCACCCACTTCTCAATTTATCCTTTTGCCTGCGGTCACGCTGGCAGTCTAGCCAAATCACCGAGTCTCTCTAGGCGCAGGCGCCTGCCCTGAGCCCCACCCCTTCACCGACACGCCTTCTCCTGGAGGGGCGGGAAGCTAAGAGGCGCGGAGATGGGCGTCAAAGAAGGGCTGAGGCCAATACGCCTGCGTCTGTAGGAAGCGGCGCTCCGCATTGGTAGATTGTCTAATGACGTTTATGCGCCAATCCGCATTCTGGGGGCGGGGATAAAGCAGGTAGGCAGGAGGAGGAAAACCGCCTGGCAGAAGCACGTGACCTGGCTCCGGAGCCGGAAGCTACCGGTCTGGTAGGGAGCTCCCCCAGCAACTGAGGCTGCGATGGTGAGTGAAGGCGCATTCGCTAAGTACGCGCTGGGGGTTCTGCGACCCTGCTCCGCATCCTTTTTGGTTGTCTTCTCCTGGGCCTGCACTCCGCTTTCACTGCTTATCCACCCCGGGATAGAGGGGGAATGGAGATAGGAGAAGCGACGTAGAGGGCTAAGGAGGGAACTGTGGGAGGTGAACGGGGGGCTGGGGAGTAGTATGCGGGGGAGGGAGGGCCGCAGGGAGACTTGGAGAGGAAGCAAGGGGCCGTGAGGCTGCGAAGGCCTCTCGGGGTTAGCAAAAGTTGGGTATAGAAGCCTGGGGAATCCCAGGGGTCCCGGATGAGACAGGTGGAGGCTCCAGAAGATCCGTGTTGAAGGCTATGTGGATACAAGAGGGTCGGAAGGGCTGGGAAATGGAAGGGCTTGGGGGGCCATTGTCAGGAGAGGTGGGTTTGCAAGGGAAGGGTGTGGAGGGCCATCCTTCTGGCATGCTTCTCATTGATTGCATCTTTACCCATTAGACTTCTGCACTGACCCAGGGGTTGGAGCGAATCCCAGATCAGCTCGGCTACCTGGTGCTGAGTGAAGGCGCAGTGCTGGCGGTGCGTTCTGGGCAAGGGAGGGAGTCCCCCAAATATACATGGCCCCTTCGGACATTGCCCAGTTTGGCCTAATTTGTTTCTGTTTGGTCTTGATGGTTTTATTTCTGGCACATAGTAAGCGTTCAGTAATTAAATAAATCTCAACTCTTAGTCTGGTAACGGTTCTGAGGTAAAAGGTTTACTAATTTTACCAAAGTCAAACAACTAGTTACAGGTTTGTGGATGACTCATACTGTCCAAGTCATTCTCAAATATGTCTTTATCTGGTATTTATTGGAGGGGTTTTGTATTTTGCTCCATAGTGCAATATAGTATTAGTGTTACATTGTTAACTCTAAAAGTTCTCCATCAAGCTAGAGAGACATGCTTAGGGTTGAAAGTCAAAAGCAATGGAGTGGTACAGGTTACTGAAGGAGTCTGGAAAAGGAAGGATTCAATCCTTTCTGTTACCTTGTGTTAAGACAAGGAAACTTTCTTTAGAGGCTTTCTTTGGGCTTAAAGGATGGATGGTTATGAACAGGCAGAAAAGGAGAGTGTTCAGGGCTAGAAGGTTGATACGATGGTAGGAGTGTGACAGCAGGCTGTCTGAATTGGTGGTGGGTTGGTCTTGAAAATATTTGGAAAGCTTTGGGGGAAGAAGAGGATATGATGAGGAAGGATCTGCTGTGGACAACTTTCAGGGCTTGGTTAAGAAATTTGGGTTAATTTTGAGGGTAATAGGAGCTTTGAAAGGTTTTTGAACAGAACATGATCTGAAGAAACAGTTGAACAGGATTTTTCTATTAGCTGTGAAGGTGGGCTGGAAGGGGTAGGATTCAGAAGCAGAAAGGTGCTGCCAAAATCCAGGTATGAGACTGGGCTGGTGTTAGTGAGAGAGGAGCAAAGAGAGAGATTTTAAAGGAAGAATCTACATATTCTTTGTAGTGTCTAGAAACAGGTAATAGAAGAGATACTTCTCTATCCAGTAAGACTTTGATGTCAAGCCTAGAATAACGGCAATGGTGCCTTAACAGGGAATTAAGAAAGGAAATTGGTTGGGGTGGGGGGAGGTAAGGGAAATTTTGATGGCTTGACTTTAGACACTGAGTTTACTGTAGACTAACAGCAAGTTTGTATATATTGCTGGGAGCTTTCTAAGTATCTCCCCAACATTGTATCACATAACCCTCACAACATGACTATACAATAGGTACCATTGTCCCCAGATTACAGATAAGGAAACTGTGAGGTACAAAATGTTCAAGAGAGTAAAGGCCACTATCTCCTAGAGGGAGGTAATTGAGGAGGTAGAAAGAATAAGTTGAGACAGTCACTAGAAAAGAGGAAGCCCAAGGCCTAGGTAGTAGAGAAGGGCTCAGTGACAAAGGGGATATTTAATTTCAGAGTCTGCAGACAGAGCACCCAGTGGAAAGGCTGAGGAAAAGATGGGGCCTTGACCAAGTCAGTGGTGGGTGGGCACTGATGAATGTGGTTTTATCATGTAAGTGGGGACAGGGAGAAAAACTGAGTTTCAAGAGATTAGGGAAGAATGGTCAGTAAAGAAATGGATGAGTCTTTGCTTGTGGGGGACATGAGTAGTACATGGACGAGAAACAGGATGGCATCAAGAGGGGCAGCATCATAGGAAAGTTTCAGGTTTGTTTTTCCAAAATGGGGTGATCTTCAGAGAGAGGTTACAAAAGCTAGAGCCATGTGATGTTCCTGGAATTCTTTCCTAATTGTGTTCCCTGCTCTCCTCCTTCCTCTGTGTGCATGCAGTCATCTGGGGATCTGGAGAATGACGAGCAGGCAGCCAGTGCCATCTCTGAGCTGGTCAGCACAGCCTGTGGGTTCCGACTGCACCACAGCTCAAATATACCCTTCAAACGCCTTTCTGGTGAGGCCCTGCCCTGACCCCAGGGAGCCGTGGAAGGGGTGCTCCCCAGAGGCTTCTTTGGGAAAAACACCTGTCTCCTCCCAACCTCTCACCATCTTCCCATGGGGTCCCCAGTTCTGGCTGTGTCCTCCCCTTTGGGATTCACTCCTACATCAGGTTCTGAGAAAGCAAGAGAAAGAAGGTGATTTAATGGAGACCCTCCCATCTTCAAATCTCTGAGCCTTGAACTGTTATGTTTCTTTGGCATTTGACCCCAGAGCCAGGAAGTGTGAGACCCCACATAACACCCCACTAACTGTGCTCCCTTCCCCTCTCGGGGGGCGGGTGGTATCTCCCCTCCAGTGGTCTTTGGAGAACACACTCTGCTGGTGACTGTGTCAGGACAAAGAGTGTTTGTGGTGAAGAGGCAGAACCGAGGCCGGGAGCCCATTGATGTCTGAGCCTGCCGGATGGCAAGGCACACAGGTGGACTGGGTCCAGGAGCCTCTGTGATGGGAGGATGCAAATCTCCACCTCTTTTGTGGCCTGCTGCTCACCCTCTTCCCCACCACTACCTGGAAGGACAGAGGCTTGGGGACTTCATGCTGTGTTAAGGAACCATGTTAAGAAGCTTGAGGGCAAGAGGACCTCCCTCTTCCCTCCCTCCTTCTTAATAAACATGAGTATGATGTTGCCAGGCCCAGGGATGTGTGTTATGGGGAGAGCAGAGTCATAGTACACATCCGTTTGCCATCTCCTAGGGAGAAAGTCATGTACCTGGGCCCAGGGGGGTGGACCTATTGTGTAACACTGGAAATCAGAGGATAAAAGTCAGTAAGGCAGCTGAGGGGAGCTGTATTCTGAACCCCTGGTCTTGACTTCTGCCACCAAAACACAAATGACAGTCATTTTTCTCCCTCCTGAACAGGCATTTAATAGTCTTATTTCAGTTGGAAGCAGTAGTTGGAGAATAAGTTACAGAAACAGACAGACCAAAAAAAAAAAGACAGACAATAAAACCCCCACACAACTTAAAGTGCTTTGGGCTGCAAACGTAAACATGAAGGGCCGGGGAGGCCACCTTGCTATCTCCCCTGACCCCTGAGACAGGAGGGTCATTGTCAGGGTCCCTTTACCACCACCACCCTCTAATTTCAGCCCTGCAGGTGGGTGGGTGGGAGTATCAGAGGCGGAAAAGAACTCACTAGGACTGAAGAAAACACTTTGTAAACTTAGAACCAAGGTACAAGGTGGGGGGCAAGGGAGCACTTGGAGCCCTTGCCCTGGCCGAGGGGTGGGGCCAGCCGCCCCAGGAAGTTAGGGAAATACTCTTGGTTTCGTGCTGCAGCCATACCCTCCCATTTCACAGCTTCTTCCCTTGTCCCTCATCAGCAGACACAGACAGGTGGCCAGCCCTTGGGCCTCCTCACCCACAGCGGGAGGCATCCCAGGAGAGGCACAGCCTGGAGTGAGGACCCGCTCGGGGGCTTTCAATTTCTGGGAGTGTAAGAGGGAGGACAGCCAGCAGGGTGCTACTTGACAGGCTCCACCACCAGGACCTTGCACTCACGCTTGGCAATCTTGTCCAGAGAGAGCACAGCCTTGTCCGGGGGTAGATAGAGGGGGCGGCCCACAGGAGAGGCCACAGGGGGTGTGATGGCCCTGCGCTCCATCACACTGCCTGACCTGGAGGAAAGCAGAGGCTGTGAGCTCTAGTCAGAGCCCAGGACCCCTTCCTGCTCCCGCCAACTCCGGCTGCCACCCCTCCGGTGGTTCCATACCTCATGAGGTGGCTGCGGGAGGGCTGTTGGTGGGAGAAGGACTGAGAGCGGCCCAGGCTAGCCTGGTGCCTCTCCACCAAGTCCCGGACGGCAGGGCTGCTGGGGCTGCTCTTGCGAGAGAGGGGTCGGGCCTCGGGTGGAGGGTGGGACACGCTGGCAGTGAACTGCAGCTTCAGTTTCATGTGCTGGCTCAGCTGGGATGGAGATACAGAGTATCAGCTCAGCTTCCAGGCCCCAGCTCTCCTTTCAAATCACCTTCCCCACATGCTAGGCCAAGTATTGGATCCAAATACCACCTTCCCCCTGCCCAGCTTTTGAAATCAGTGCCTCCCATCAATTTCATCCACAGAAACAGATGGCCCTGCCTCCTCCCACCTCAACATTCAGCACCCCTTTAGCCCACCCTGCCCAGCTCAGCCTACCTCGAAGAGCCCTGTTCTTAGAGCTTGGAAGGCCACACTGAAGGTGAGCGCGCTGCCCTTCCGGGAAAAGCCGAGGTTGTTGAGGGGCGTGTGGCAGACAATGGAGTCCAGGGCTGCCTGCATGGCCCGGCGCTCCTCCTCACACAGCTGCTTTCCTGGGGGCAGAAACGGCGACAGTGAACACATCTGTGCAGTGTTCTTTGGTTCACAAAGGGCTTTCCCGAGCTGGGTCTCATTTGGTCCTCAAAGCCACTCCGTGGAGTAAACTGAGTATATGTTATCTTTTGCTAAATTTTGTAAGTAACAATAGCTAAAACTGCATGCTGAGGTCTATTCTAACCATATATTAAATTATTAAATCACCATAACAACCCCATGAGGTATTATTTCTCTGCATTACAGATGAGGAGTCTGAGCCTCAGGGAGGTTAAGTAAACTACCCATGGTCATACAGCTAGTAAATGGCAGAGACAGAGACAGAAATCAAACATACCAAGGAGCCCAGCACCCAGGTCAGTGTCCTTAACATCACCTGCTTCACTGCCTCTCCGAACTCTCCATCTATTACCATATGGAGACCATCCCGGTACAGAGCTGAAGCCGTCTGCCACAAGCCAGTCACCCCCATGACTTCTTCTTTTCCCCTCCTTGCCTTCAGGATAAGATCCCAGAGCCTGGCAGTGGACCTACCAGCCTGTGCGTGCTCTGGGGTCCACACAAGCCTCACAGCAAGAAAGTCTTGGAGATTGTTGAGCAGCGTGTAGGTGACAGTGAAACGCTCATAGGTCCGAACAGGGGACTCACAAGAAGCAGTCATCACAAAGCACGGGCGGTCTAGGCGGATGCTAGGCAGGCTGGGAGCAGTGAGAGGGAAGCAGGATGTGTGATGCGGGACAAAGGTGGACGGGATGGTGCCTAGTTGGGGTGGTCCCACAAACTCACCGGTAGTGGGTGTATATGCTCTGGGTGAAGGGCAGCTTTGGGGTAGACCACTGAACCACAGCAATCAGGGGAACTTCTAGGCCCTGTGTGAAGGACACAGGGTACACTCTCAGGTATCAGAGGTCCCTTCTCATACCTAGTCACACTGTCCCTCCCCGCTTCTCCCCCGCCTTTCCCTCTGCTTTGTCTTAACCTTTTTCCTTCAACAGCCAGCCCCTTGTACTCACCTCCTTGGCCCCAGGAGGGGGCTGCTCACCCGCTCTCAGCTGAAACAGGAAGTTGTGTTCCTCCAGGGCACTAAGCGGGCAGGGGAAGCAGCCAGATGTGCCAGGGAGCCGGCAGAAGGAGCCCATGGAGACCTCCCCAGACTGGTGACTAGTTCAGAAGAAAGATGGACAGAGCTGGCTCCTTGCCCTGCCGGGCTCCTGGCCCTGCCTCCATCCCCACCACTTTGTGGCCCTGCCCTTCCCCAGGACCTCACCAGACATTGTCCACCAGAAGCACAGAGCCGTCAGGCATAACAGGTAGATAACTGGCATTGAAGTTTGGGAGAATGTGGATGTCCCAGATGGAAATTTCCTCCTGGGACGAGCCATTCAGCACTGTGGGAGGTACCCAGCTCAGCTCAGAGTATCTGGACCCCTCAGACTCTATCTTTACCATCTCCCCAAAACAAACCTATCCCCAACAGTCTCACCTGAGTAACTGCCACCCAATGCCCTTGCTGCTATCCAAGACCTGAGTCACCCATCTACTCACCCTTGAGCACGGTCAAGTGTTTTCCAGCCACAGTGAACTGGCGGCATTTCAGAACAGGAGGGGGCAGTAGTGTCAGCAGGGTGCTCACTGCAGGGAGGGCGGAAGCAAAGGCTGATGGGTTGGGCACTGACCTCACATCTGATCCATGGTTCTAGACTAACATTTCCTCTCTGCATTCTCCCCCACCTTGGGCCTTGAAAGCACTCTGCTCGCCCCGGAAGGTCTCCCCAGGAGATCGGGTCTGCAGTAAGCGCAAGTAGCCTTGATCTCTGACCTCTGGTGCCTCAACCTCCCTCTTCCACACGGTTACTACAATCTGAGCACAGGGGACACAGGTCCACAGTCAAGAGGAGAGACAGCCAGCCTGGCCTTAGAAAGGGAGTGTGAATTAGGCTGACAGCTCCACCCCTTGCCAATCTTACCTTGGCCTTAGGTGTCCCTGGGGGCAATCTGTCCAGTGACACGGTGAGTGGGAAGATGACCTCATCTGTGGACACAATTGGTTCCTCCACAGGCAGCTGGGGTTGTGAAAGGGGTGAAGAGGGCAGGATAGAGTCAAAAAGGCAGCCTGCAGCCTTCCCTTTAAGAATCCGCAGTCCCTCCCTTCTCATCCATCATCTGCCGCTGCTTCAGGCCGCTGGAGTCCTTCCCCTCAAGTCTTTGGAGCCCAGCAAGCCGCCCCTCCGTCCTGTGCTGTTGTCATCCCAAGCTCCTCACCGTGGTCGCTCCCCCTGAGGTAGCAGGACCCGGGCCATGGGTGAGGAGTGGGCTGCAGCTGCGAAACAACCCCNTCACATAACCCTCACAACATGACTATACAATAGGTACCATTGTCCCCAGATTACAGATAAGGAAACTGTGAGGTACAAAATGTTCAAGAGAGTAAAGGCCACTATCTCCTAGAGGGAGGTAATTGAGGAGGTAGAAAGAATAAGTTGAGACAGTCACTAGAAAAGAGGAAGCCCAAGGCCTAGGTAGTAGAGAAGGGCTCAGTGACAAAGGGGATATTTAATTTCAGAGTCTGCAGACAGAGCACCCAGTGGAAAGGCTGAGGAAAAGATGGGGCCTTGACCAAGTCAGTGGTGGGTGGGCACTGATGAATGTGGTTTTATCATGTAAGTGGGGACAGGGAGAAAAACTGAGTTTCAAGAGATTAGGGAAGAATGGTCAGTAAAGAAATGGATGAGTCTTTGCTTGTGGGGGACATGAGTAGTACATGGACGAGAAACAGGATGGCATCAAGAGGGGCAGCATCATAGGAAAGTTTCAGGTTTGTTTTTCCAAAATGGGGTGATCTTCAGAGAGAGGTTACAAAAGCTAGAGCCATGTGATGTTCCTGGAATTCTTTCCTAATTGTGTTCCCTGCTCTCCTCCTTCCTCTGTGTGCATGCAGTCATCTGGGGATCTGGAGAATGACGAGCAGGCAGCCAGTGCCATCTCTGAGCTGGTCAGCACAGCCTGTGGGTTCCGACTGCACCACAGCTCAAATATACCCTTCAAACGCCTTTCTGGTGAGGCCCTGCCCTGACCCCAGGGAGCCGTGGAAGGGGTGCTCCCCAGAGGCTTCTTTGGGAAAAACACCTGTCTCCTCCCAACCTCTCACCATCTTCCCATGGGGTCCCCAGTTCTGGCTGTGTCCTCCCCTTTGGGATTCACTCCTACATCAGGTTCTGAGAAAGCAAGAGAAAGAAGGTGATTTAATGGAGACCCTCCCATCTTCAAATCTCTGAGCCTTGAACTGTTATGTTTCTTTGGCATTTGACCCCAGAGCCAGGAAGTGTGAGACCCCACATAACACCCCACTAACTGTGCTCCCTTCCCCTCTCGGGGGGCGGGTGGTATCTCCCCTCCAGTGGTCTTTGGAGAACACACTCTGCTGGTGACTGTGTCAGGACAAAGAGTGTTTGTGGTGAAGAGGCAGAACCGAGGCCGGGAGCCCATTGATGTCTGAGCCTGCCAGATGGCAAGGCACACAGGTGGACTGGGTCCAGGAGCCTCTGTGATGGGAGGATGCAAATCTCCACCTCTTTTGTGGCCTGCTGCTCACCCTCTTCCCCACCACTACCTGGAAGGACAGAGGCTTGGGGACTTCATGCTGTGTTAAGGAACCATGTTAAGAAGCTTGAGGGCAAGAGGACCTCCCTCTTCCCTCCCTCCTTCTTAATAAACATGAGTATGATGTTGCCAGGCCCAGGGATGTGTGTTATGGGGAGAGCAGAGTCATAGTACACATCCGTTTGCCATCTCCTAGGGAGAAAGTCATGTACCTGGGCCCAGGGGGGTGGACCTATTGTGTAACACTGGAAATCAGAGGATAAAAGTCAGTAAGGCAGCTGAGGGGAGCTGTATTCTGAACCCCTGGTCTTGACTTCTGCCACCAAAACACAAATGACAGTCATTTTTCTCCCTCCTGAACAGGCATTTAATAGTCTTATTTCAGTTGGAAGCAGTAGTTGGAGAATAAGTTACAGAAACAGACAGACCAAAAAAAAAAAGACAGACAATAAAACCCCCACACAACTTAAAGTGCTTTGGGCTGCAAACGTAAACATGAAGGGCCGGGGAGGCCACCTTGCTATCTCCCCTGACCCCTGAGACAGGAGGGTCATTGTCAGGGTCCCTTTACCACCACCACCCTCTAATTTCAGCCCTGCAGGTGGGTGGGTGGGAGTATCAGAGGCGGAAAAGAACTCACTAGGACTGAAGAAAACACTTTGTAAACTTAGAACCAAGGTACAAGGTGGGGGGCAAGGGAGCACTTGGAGCCCTTGCCCTGGCCGAGGGGTGGGGCCAGCCGCCCCAGGAAGTTAGGGAAATACTCTTGGTTTCGTGCTGCAGCCATACCCTCCCATTTCACAGCTTCTTCCCTTGTCCCTCATCAGCAGACACAGACAGGTGGCCAGCCCTTGGGCCTCCTCACCCACAGCGGGAGGCATCCCAGGAGAGGCACAGCCTGGAGTGAGGACCCGCTCGGGGGCTTTCAATTTCTGGGAGTGTAAGAGGGAGGACAGCCAGCAGGGTGCTACTTGACAGGCTCCACCACCAGGACCTTGCACTCACGCTTGGCAATCTTGTCCAGAGAGAGCACAGCCTTGTCCGGGGGTAGATAGAGGGGGCGGCCCACAGGAGAGGCCACAGGGGGTGTGATGGCCCTGCGCTCCATCACACTGCCTGACCTGGAGGAAAGCAGAGGCTGTGAGCTCTAGTCAGAGCCCAGGACCCCTTCCTGCTCCCGCCAACTCCGGCTGCCACCCCTCCGGTGGTTCCATACCTCATGAGGTGGCTGCGGGAGGGCTGTTGGTGGGAGAAGGACTGAGAGCGGCCCAGGCTAGCCTGGTGCCTCTCCACCAAGTCCCGGACGGCAGGGCTGCTGGGGCTGCTCTTGCGAGAGAGGGGTCGGGCCTCGGGTGGAGGGTGGGACACGCTGGCAGTGAACTGCAGCTTCAGTTTCATGTGCTGGCTCAGCTGGGATGGAGATACAGAGTATCAGCTCAGCTTCCAGGCCCCAGCTCTCCTTTCAAATCACCTTCCCCACATGCTAGGCCAAGTATTGGATCCAAATACCACCTTCCCCCTGCCCAGCTTTTGAAATCAGTGCCTCCCATCAATTTCATCCACAGAAACAGATGGCCCTGCCTCCTCCCACCTCAACATTCAGCACCCCTTTAGCCCACCCTGCCCAGCTCAGCCTACCTCGAAGAGCCCTGTTCTTAGAGCTTGGAAGGCCACACTGAAGGTGAGCGCGCTGCCCTTCCGGGAAAAGCCGAGGTTGTTGAGGGGCGTGTGGCAGACAATGGAGTCCAGGGCTGCCTGCATGGCCCGGCGCTCCTCCTCACACAGCTGCTTTCCTGGGGGCAGAAACGGCGACAGTGAACACATCTGTGCAGTGTTCTTTGGTTCACAAAGGGCTTTCCCGAGCTGGGTCTCATTTGGTCCTCAAAGCCACTCCGTGGAGTAAACTGAGTATATGTTATCTTTTGCTAAATTTTGTAAGTAACAATAGCTAAAACTGCATGCTGAGGTCTATTCTAACCATATATTAAATTATTAAATCACCATAACAACCCCATGAGGTATTATTTCTCTGCATTACAGATGAGGAGTCTGAGCCTCAGGGAGGTTAAGTAAACTACCCATGGTCATACAGCTAGTAAATGGCAGAGACAGAGACAGAAATCAAACATACCAAGGAGCCCAGCACCCAGGTCAGTGTCCTTAACATCACCTGCTTCACTGCCTCTCCGAACTCTCCATCTATTACCATATGGAGACCATCCCAGTACAGAGCTGAAGCCGTCTGCCACAAGCCAGTCACCCCCATGACTTCTTCTTTTCCCCTCCTTGCCTTCAGGATAAGATCCCAGAGCCTGGCAGTGGACCTACCAGCCTGTGCGTGCTCTGGGGTCCACACAAGCCTCACAGCAAGAAAGTCTTGGAGATTGTTGAGCAGCGTGTAGGTGACAGTGAAACGCTCATAGGTCCGAACAGGGGACTCACAAGAAGCAGTCATCACAAAGCACGGGCGGTCTAGGCGGATGCTAGGCAGGCTGGGAGCAGTGAGAGGGAAGCAGGATGTGTGATGCGGGACAAAGGTGGACGGGATGGTGCCTAGTTGGGGTGGTCCCACAAACTCACCGGTAGTGGGTGTATATGCTCTGGGTGAAGGGCAGCTTTGGGGTAGACCACTGAACCACAGCAATCAGGGGAACTTCTAGGCCCTGTGTGAAGGACACAGGGTACACTCTCAGGTATCAGAGGTCCCTTCTCATACCTAGTCACACTGTCCCTCCCCGCTTCTCCCCCGCCTTTCCCTCTGCTTTGTCTTAACCTTTTTCCTTCAACAGCCAGCCCCTTGTACTCACCTCCTTGGCCCCAGGAGGGGGCTGCTCACCCGCTCTCAGCTGAAACAGGAAGTTGTGTTCCTCCAGGGCACTAAGCGGGCAGGGGAAGCAGCCAGATGTGCCAGGGAGCCGGCAGAAGGAGCCCATGGAGACCTCCCCAGACTGGTGACTAGTTCAGAAGAAAGATGGACAGAGCTGGCTCCTTGCCCTGCCGGGCTCCTGGCCCTGCCTCCATCCCCACCACTTTGTGGCCCTGCCCTTCCCCAGGACCTCACCAGACATTGTCCACCAGAAGCACAGAGCCGTCAGGCATAACAGGTAGATAACTGGCATTGAAGTTTGGGAGAATGTGGATGTCCCAGATGGAAATTTCCTCCTGGGACGAGCCATTCAGCACTGTGGGAGGTACCCAGCTCAGCTCAGAGTATCTGGACCCCTCAGACTCTATCTTTACCATCTCCCCAAAACAAACCTATCCCCAACAGTCTCACCTGAGTAACTGCCACCCAATGCCCTTGCTGCTATCCAAGACCTGAGTCACCCATCTACTCACCCTTGAGCACGGTCAAGTGTTTTCCAGCCACAGTGAACTGGCGGCATTTCAGAACAGGAGGGGGCAGTAGTGTCAGCAGGGTGCTCACTGCAGGGAGGGCGGAAGCAAAGGCTGATGGGTTGGGCACTGACCTCACATCTGATCCATGGTTCTAGACTAACATTTCCTCTCTGCATTCTCCCCCACCTTGGGCCTTGAAAGCACTCTGCTCGCCCCGGAAGGTCTCCCCAGGAGATCGGGTCTGCAGTAAGCGCAAGTAGCCTTGATCTCTGACCTCTGGTGCCTCAACCTCCCTCTTCCACACGGTTACTACAATCTGAGCACAGGGGACACAGGTCCACAGTCAAGAGGAGAGACAGCCAGCCTGGCCTTAGAAAGGGAGTGTGAATTAGGCTGACAGCTCCACCCCTTGCCAATCTTACCTTGGCCTTAGGTGTCCCTGGGGGCAATCTGTCCAGTGACACGGTGAGTGGGAAGATGACCTCATCTGTGGACACAATTGGTTCCTCCACAGGCAGCTGGGGTTGTGAAAGGGGTGAAGAGGGCAGGATAGAGTCAAAAAGGCAGCCTGCAGCCTTCCCTTTAAGAATCCGCAGTCCCTCCCTTCTCATCCATCATCTGCCGCTGCTTCAGGCCCCTGGAGTCCTTCCCCTCAAGTCTTTGGAGCCCAGCAAGCCGCCCCTCCGTCCTGTGCTGTTGTCATCCCAAGCTCCTCACCGTGGTCGCTCCCCCTGAGGTAGCAGGACCCGGGCCATGGGTGAGGAGTGGGCTGCAGCTGCGAAACAACCCCCCACCGCCAGGATCTCCACCCCCGGGGGGTTCGGAATCCTGGTCTCCGGTGCTACCTCCCCCGGACGCCGCGTCCCCGGCGCTGACCGAGGCCAGGGCGGCAAGGGCGGTTGCCAGCTCTGCCCAGGCCCCTCGGGAGCCCAAGCCCGCACAGCCCCCCGCGCCGCCCCGGCAGCGCAGCACCAGCAGGAAGCGGACAGTTTCCCCCAGGTAGAGATGGTTGCGCCGGGGCAGTGCCCGGTACCGGCCCGGGTCCCCCGCCAGCTCCGCACGCGGCGGCAGCGGCACGGCCGGGAAGTACATCGAGTAGTCGCACTGGGACTCCATGGGACGGCGAGGATGGCGCGGGCCGGAGCGAGGTGGGTCGGGCAGCGGAGGTCGAGGGACCGCTGGAGTGGGCCGGGTGTCCCGATACCCGGTTGGTGCTGCGCGCGGTCAAGCCGGCCCGAGGGACCAGCCCGGGCCGGGAACCGGGGCAACGAACCCGGAACCGAGACCCGGCGGGGCCGGAGCCGGGCTGCGGGGCCGAATGACTGGAGAGACCGGAAGCGGAAAGAAAGGGGCGTGGCCTCCAAATCTCTGGGTGACCTGACCGCGGAGGAGAGGGGGCAGGCTCCGTCGGGCTTCTGGCTGCCGCTGGAGGCATTCAGGGGGCACTATAGCACTTCACTACTTCTTAGAGAAGTAAGAAGACCCCCTCCAGCCCCGCTTCTCCCAGGAAGATGCGCCATCCCCTCACCTTTCAGCTATTCGTAAAGCAGGTCGAAGTTTCAAATTATTTATTCATTCAAAAAACATTTTATAGTGAAACGCATAGCCCGGTAGCAAATATTTCAGAAAGAAATGGACACATTATTCCAATCCACCATTTCCCAAACTTTCTCTGGCTTACACCATGGTTTGCTCCTCTAGGGGCTTTTGACGCTGATCGGATATGCCTGGGGCTAGAAAGGGGGAGGTACAAAATGGGGGCTGCTAATTGCTGAACAACTGGGATTCCTTGGCAGTGGCTGGGGGACTTGGGGCCTGCATCTGTGCAAAGGTCCATTCCTCTAGGGAGCAGACATGCTTTCTGAAGGAAGCAGAAGTGTATCTGGCTGCCCCCATACTCATCACGTGTAGCTTAGCTGCTCCTCAGCCTAAGATTTAGTGGTCTGATGCCTAGGGGCAGAGAAGCCTTTAAGTCTTGAGGGGCAGAGAGACAGCTGGGGGAAACTGCTTGGCATCTAACTTGTCCTTGTACTGTAGCTCAGGAGTAGCCAGGCGCTCACACTCCTCCCTGTCTTGGAGGCTCAGTCCACTCCGAAGTACATAACCCAAAACCTTACCTGACCCAAACTGGAAAGGGCGGAACTGTCGGTCAGTGATGTATTTGGGTTCTAAAGCCTCACCCCCAACAAGGCAGTGTTTAGCCAGGGCTTCTCGGCGAGCCCGGAGCTGTGCCACGGCACTCTCCAGCCGACTCTGGCCATATTGCTTTATTCGTGCCCACAGACTGTGGTTGAAATGAACATAGAGAGCCCAATCCAGGTTGTTCCAGGCTCGGGCCCGTGCAGTGAGCTGCCTGTCCTCAGCAGTCAGCCCGCCATCACTGACAGTGCTTCTGCCATGCACACCTCCAGCCTGGGCATTGTGCATGAAGCCCACCACATCATCCAGACTCCAACACAGGGCGTCTGCCAGCAGAACCAATGACTCGTCAAAGTACTCGGCCACTAAAACCAGGTCAAAAACAGAGTCCAGCCAAGCCAGGTTCCACTGGATGAAGGATGGAGACCCCACATTTAAAGAGGCAGGGCTAGACATCTGGCTGTGACCATCAGCAACAGTGGCAGCAGGATGGAAGAGAGCACTGGGCTCCAGGGTGTGGGCTCGAGGGTCAGCGCCAGAAGGCAAGACATGCAGCTGTCGGGGGGTGGGTTCTCGGGGGAGATGAGGATTCCCTCTCTTGGTCATCATCTCTGGTGGTAAGGGGAGGCCAAAGTCAAACCATAACAAGTTGCGTGCGTAGTGGTCCCCACGGGCCCCAGGCCGGTAGAAGGCTTGAGGACTGACCAGGAAGGCAGCCAAGGACGGCGCCTTGCGGAAAGCTGATGAGGTGGATTTATAGTAGGAGAAGGCAGAGCGAGCAAGAGCCGCTGGGTCTCGGACAATGGAAAAGAAGAAGCTGTCAGAAGGCATGACCTGAAGTACCTGCAGAGAAAACAGACATAGGGAGAAAGGACTGGGCCAGAGAGAAACTAAGAGCAAGCCCAGTGCCTGCTGATCCTGCAGCCTCCTCATGCCTTCCAACAGCTCTGCTGGGAACCCCCAGCTCCTTCACTACCTGATGGATACTGGGCAAATTACTCAATGTCTGTGACACTCAATTTGCTTATCTGTAAAATGGGGTTACTCATAACTTCCCAGCTGATTTTGGAGGTTACATGAGATGAAGGCTCTGAAGATACCTGGAACATGAAACGCTCTTGGCAAACATTCCTTTCCTTGGGCCTTTCTATCTGCCTTGGTCAGTAAAACCTCTAGGCATCAAACTCTGTGTCCACTTCTCCAACAAAAACCTAATAAGTGCCTACCTGAGACTCTTGGTCACAGCTCCAAGAAAGGAACTGGCCTCAGAGCTCCTTGAAGGGGGTTGGTGGGGAGGAGTCACTGGCAGCAAAGAGAGAGGAAGCAGGCAATCATAATGCTGCTCAGATATAGGTGTCAGGTCAGCAGGGCAAGTCCAGGATGGCTGAAGGACAGGACACTTCTGGGCTCTGAGGCATCTTGGAGAGCAAAAGATAACCCTGGACTGGGCACTGGGGTCGTGGCCATTTGGTAGGGTGCTGCCCTGAGGCCAGGGACATGTGATCCCACTTCTCAGCAAGAAGAAAGGTGGGATTTGGGCTGAGCCATACCCTAACATGGTACTGTAGGCAGATCCAACTCCTGGGCACCCCTAAGGATTTCTCCCTCTGAACTAGCTTCTATTGTTGAACCTGTCTCCCTGACATGATGTCCTCCAATCTGTTCTCCTAGGGCATGCCTGCAGGGCAGAGCCTGTGAACTGTGTATCTTTTTGAAGGCAAAGGAGAACAGTATCAAGAACAGTCTGTGGCATCAGGTAGACCTGGAATAAAATCCCAGGTCAGCCATATGCCAGTTACGTAACTTTGAACTTCTCAGAGCATTCTTTCCTCCATCTATAAATCAGTTAATACTTGCACTGAAGAATGTGGAAGTGCGTGGAACATGGTAGGTACTCAGTGAATGGTGGTGACGATGAAGGTCATCATCCTAACCCCTGGAGAAATGTGCCTCAAAGATCACTGCCATCGCCTCATTCGCTGTGGCCCCTGGCTGCCTCTTAGATCACTCTCATGCTTCTCAGCTGCTTGCTCCAGCTCCAGCCTCAATAGGAGTATCTTGCAGCTCCCACTCAAGTTCTACCACCTCCACACACCTCTCTACCCCCTTTCTCTCACACATACCAGCACCACCATAACCATGTCTTTGCCTATGTTTTGCTCCACGAATTCCTGATACTCTCCTTAGTAAGTCATGTCCACTCCCCCCTTAAAACCCACCTCTTCAGAAAGCCCCATCTCTTTTCACAAATATTGTCCTCACAGTTCCGAATACAAACACATATATTCACCCACACATGCCACAGAAGGCACTTTGACTTTGGAGCAGATGGGTTCTTGGAGCAGACAGGTTCAAATCCTAGCTCTGCTGCTATCTGTTGATGGAGGCCAGTCACCTGATCTCTCTGAGACTTGATCTCATCTCTGCAATGGAGACATTTATAATGCCTTCCTGGCAAGGTGATAGTAAGATTAGTACCCAACACTCAGTATTCAGTGAAAGTTTTGTTTCCTCTCTGTATGTTTTCATTTGCACCTTTGTTCTCTTCCTTCAAGAGCGCTCAGGTTCCTGTGTGTGTACAGATGAACATGTAAGTGCATGCACACGTCTTTAGAACTGAGGCTGACGGGAGTGGTCAGGGCTGGGCTAGGGCTTGGCATTTAGCTGCTCCTTAAGTCTGGCAGATGTATTAAAGAAGGGAGAGGAAGACAGGTCAGAAGGCAGTGCTGAGCAGTGCTGGGCCCTGGTCGTGTCGGTGGAAGGACCAACAAGGAAGGGCAAGGGGCATCTGGAGGGAAAGTTTGGGGGGGGTTGGAGTCTTCAGAGCAGGTTACTAATGGGAGAAACTGACTGAGGAGAGAGCTGGAGTGAGCTCCCGAGTGGGGAAGGCAGGACTTTGACTCCCAAAAACCACTGGGGAAGGGTCAGCTGAAGACAGGGAACTAATCTCACCTTGTGGCCCCCATGCCCACCTTCTGAGTGAAGGGATCTTGGGGAGCCCCCACCTAGGGCCCTCTATCTCCAGCCCCACCCAGCCCTCCATACCCCTCACCTCTTTCAGGTTGAACCTCATGTGATGACAGAGGATGTGGAAGGGGGGCTGGGTGTCTCCATCCTGAGGGCGGTAGCCTTTGACCCGAGAGGCCTGGAAAAGCCTTGGGTAGCCAAACTGGTAGCGGACAGGGAGGGCGAAGTGCAGCCCGTGCCGGTCCCCATAGCGATGAAGCAGGCTTAGCACAGAACTGCTCCCAGATTTATGCGTCTTCAGGAAAACAAGTCGCTGAAGGGGTTGGCAGGATGGAACAGCTGGTTCCGGGGACCTGGCCCAGGGCTGTTGGAGCTGCAGCCCAGGTACCCTGGGGAGACATGAGAAAGGAAGTGTCCTGTCCCTCACCAGCAGGTGGGTGGGGGTCTTGTGGAGCAAAGACAGAAGGCACAGAGCCTCCTGAGTCCCCAAGAGTCACAGCCCTAGGTAGGATGGGGAGGAACAAGTGGGGGACATCTATCGGGTCTCAGGGCAAGATGGGAACTCACCTCCTCTGGAAGGGCCCCCCCCAGAACTGGAGGGCAAATCCAATGGTCATGAAGATGCCCAGAGCCACCCCCAGGCTCCGAGGCCCCCGGAGGCACATGGTCCTGGTTGGAGACAGGGGGCCCATGTGGCAGAGGGAAGGGTAGTGCTAGAGAGGGACAGGGCACGGGCCAGGCACAGAGGCAGGGACAGCTGGTGACAGCCGTGCAGCCGCGGAAGGCGCTGGTTCGAGATCGGGGGGTCATTCCCCAGGCCTGCTCGCAGTCCTGCTTTTGTCTGCCCCCTGGATTAGCCGATTTTGCTTTGGTCAGCGTCTAGAAGGGAAATGAGGGGGGAAGGAAGGGAGTCTAAGGAGAGGGTAGAGCCTTCTCTCCTGTTGCCGTCTCTTTTTCAGGGAGTAGGAGCCTGAGGCCAGGGGTGTGTGCTTTCTACACCCACATCTTCCAGGTGGCCCCTCAACTACTCCTCTCCTGACAGCCTCCAGTTCCCCCAATCCCCACCTAGTTTCTCCCTGGGCCTCAGAGGTTGGGACATGTGGGGAGAAACAGAGACTCTGTGAGACAAACCGACCAGTCTGCTCATATGACAGTGAGGTGGCCTTCGCAGGCTTCCTCCTGAGCGCTTCCATCTGTGACAGATGGGGATGAAGGGCCGGCCCCATTCTGAAGCTGACTGGGGCAGCCGTAAGGAGGGAATGAAGGTCAGACAGGGCACAGTCTGATGAGCCCAGAGAGGTCAGCCTGCAGAAGCAACTTTGTAATGAGTAGGAGTCAGCCATCTCATCCGAATTTGGGCATCTCTTCTCCCTCACAGAGTTCTCAGCATGGGGCAGCCCCCAGTGTGTGCAGGGCTCGGGTGGACGTGGGGTTACTTGTGAAGCCCAGACCCCTTGACACCCCCTTCCCACTTGCCAACCCCAGTGGGTCTTCAGAGATGATTGACAGGGTGGGGCTGGAGAGAGAGAATGAGAGGGAGGGGGAGAAAGACTCTGCTGCACAAGATATCAAAAGACAGACAAAAACACTGAGTTTCAAGTTTTTTCCAGGTCCTCTGCTTCCTCTGAGAGTCCAGACTCATCCCTTCAGATTACAACCCACAATCATAGGCCACAGCTCCGACAACACCCTTCTAGGATAAGGCGGGAGTAACCCCATGCAGAGAGAACCCACACTTGCTACCTAGAGACCTGGCATCACCCCACCGAAACAGCTCCCAGGAACCAGCCCCCCAACAGGAAGGACTCCCTCCCCTGTCCAGATTTCTTCTATTGCTTCCATCTGTCTCCTCTGGTTACCCTGATCCCAGCCCTGTTCCCTCCAGCTTTGATGACTGCTCAAGTCTGCCGCCAGCCCTTGGTTGGCGCCCTCCGAGGATCTATGACCCCCCCTAAGCCTCCTCCCATAAGTTCTAGAGCCCCCCGCTGGCTGCGGCTTCAGCTTCACGTGGCCACTCACCAGGTCACCTGAGCAGCAGCAGGGAAAGCCGAGTCTGGCCCTGCCGCCCGCCCGCTGCAGCCACCGCCCCACTCCTAGCTCAGCTCAACTTTCCCCATAAACTTTCTCAGCGCCCAGGCTCCTCCCCCACCCTCCCTTTGTCCCGCCAGTCCCTGCAGCTGCTTTCGGCTTTGATCACTCTCTGGTCTCTTCCTCCTTGCATCTTGCCTTCTCCGTCAGGGCACCCAGCCCGCCCTTGGAAGACACCACTTCTACCTCCGTTTACACTTAGGAATCAATTACACCTTTTCCTCTGGGCTTTCGGCAGAACAAAAGATTCATTCAGGTGACAGAAAGAAAGTTAAGGAGAAAGTAACAAACAAGAGTTCAAAGCAGACATTGTCAAGGATGTGACAAGGGTGCCAGAGGCTGACACACAGAGAACAGGGGCCCCCACCATGCAGGCAAGGTATGGTAATATTAATGATGCCTCGTGTTCAAAGAACTATGCCAGTCCCAACAGTTCTCCCATTTACAGAGGAAGGTGCTCAGAATGGGAGGGTGGACAACTTGCCCAAATGCAACCCAGGAGACAGGTTCCAAAAGAGAGAAGCAGGCAGAGGAGCTGGTCACAGAGGCTCTGGGGCCTCTGCCAGGAGCCAGGGCTCAGGGAGGGGATGCTGAAGGTACAGAAAGTCACACATACGGTCCAATTAGCCATTTATTTGTAAACACTGAGTCAAATACTGAAACATGAAATGAGGAAGCTTGTGAAAAATGTGGCTAGCAGAGGTCATAATATTCATTTACTTATTTTTTGCTATCTTTAAGAAACTGATGGGAAAACTCAACAGCACCCAGGTCCATATGGATCCTGACATCCTATTCACATATAACCCTGTCCTGCACCCTATTAGCACCCAGCTTTATCCAGTTCTTAGACTGGGTGCCCCCACCCCTCCCCACTTCCAGCTTCCTTCAAACACATCCCCAACTGGAACTAAAACTCTTCCCTTTCTCCTTGTTGGGGCCGATCACTGGCCCAACTGTAAAGGCTTGGCTGGAGAGACCATACCTCCTTGCTAAATAAATAAATACCCCCAGCCCCTCCCCCAAGACACTAAATGAAAAAATAAATATTGTGAACACCCCCATCCCCAACCCACCAATGAAAATCTCCTGAATTTGGGGCCCCAGCCATTCACCCAAAAAGTCCCCTCTCTACCCTCTCTGCAGCCCCCTTCAACTCCTCCCCAAACCCAGCTGTCAAGGGAGGAGGGGAAAGGCCGTGAACCCTTCTGATGCTAGGGCACCCCTCCCATGTTATCGAGGTCCAAGCAGAGCCAGGACTGAGAGGATGAGAATGAGGACGGGCTGGGTGTGAAAACAGAGAGATGAACCCCCAGAGCTTCCCCTGCCCCTGTTGTGGTGGACAAGGACACCTACTTTGCCCCCAGTGCCATCCCTTCGAGGAGGGCGAGGAAGCCTAACTGGCGGTGCCACAGCTCCTGCCCTGGCCATCCAGTCATCCGCATAATGCTGGCCCCCTCCAGAACCACTGGCATCCTCATCTGTAAAAAGGAAGCGGGTCAGAGATAAGGTTGAGAAAGATACACACACAAACAGGAAGAGAACTCGAATTAAAAACAAAGAAAAAGGAAGGCAGGAGAGACACAGAGATGGAAATTGGGAGGGAGAAAGTGACAGGCAGGAAAAGAGAGGGATAAGACACAGAATTAGAGAATGAGATGAAGAGACAGGAGACAGAGACAGAAAAGAGGGAGACGGACAGATGAGGAGAGAAGATAAACAGGGAAGACAGAGAAAGAAGACTTACACAGAAGCAACGAGCAGATGCGAATGGGGTGGGGTGGGGTGAAGTCGGGTGGGGTAGGGTAGGAAAGACAGGAGAGACAAGTGCAATAGAAAAATGAAAGTCAGTGCCTTGCTTCTCTGGCAAACTGACTTGGGGAGCCAGCCCAACAGCTTCCCCACCCACTTCTCCAACTCCTCCAGGCTGCCTGCCCTCCCCAACCCATAGCACGTCGCTCCTGAGAAGCTTTCTGTTAAGATGTTTCGGTGTCTCCCCCATTGGGCCAGGAATGAAAGGAGGGACCCTCACCGGCCTTCCTCCCCTCACCTTTGAGGCAAGTGTTCAGTAAACGCGCCTTAAACGAACGAGTGAATGAATGAATGACAGCTGAGCCAGATGCGAGGGGTGGGGTTGAGGGCAGTGGGCGGGGCCCAGGCTGGCTTTCCGGAGGCCTGGAGGGCGAGGCCCGGGGCGCCCTGGGCTCACCCGAGTCCTCCAGTTCCAGGTCGTGACCCAGGGCGGCAGCCCGCATCCTGATTGTGGCCGTCCGAAGCTGCAGCCGCCGCCTCCGCGTCTGGACGTCGGGGCTCGAAGTTTCCACATCCAGCTCTGGGTTGTTGAGCTGCTCTGGCAGGGAGCCCCCGACCACTGGCGACACGTACCTGTGAGCAGAGTAGCCCCGAAGCTTCCGCCGGGCCCGGCCCGACCCGACCCCGGAGTTGGCTCACCCGCTGCAGCCACCGCCCAGGTCTCACCGGCCCCGCCCAGCTCCCGTCCAGCAGGGCGCCGCCTCCTGCGAGATGTCCGCCGCCATGCGGGGGTCTCCACACACCGTCAGGGGCAGTCCAGCCCAGAAGCCCCTCACGCGGCCCAGTCGCTCGCGGAGCTCCCACACCTGGGCGGGCAGAGAGCGGCGGCAGCTGGAGCGCGCCCCACCGGCCACCCGCCAGGCCGCCCGCCCGCGCCGTCCCACTCACTAGGCGAGGCAGGCTAGTGCCCGCCGCCGTCGTGGGTTGTTCCTCCAACGCCGCCGCCGCCGCCCAAAGCCGGCCCACCTCTTCCCGCGGCGCTGGGGCTCGGCGGGTGCGCGCCGGTGCATGGGGAGGGGTCCCACATTGGTGAAACACCTGCCACACGGGGAAGAGAACCCATATGGGTCACGCTGCAGTGAAACCCACACATGTCCCTGCTCCAGTGCCCCAATCTCCCCAGATATCCTGCACTGTCTCCTGACACCCACGCTGTCCCCCAACTCAAGGCCCTCACCTCCACCCTTCTCTTTCCTGTCCTCGAGCTGACACCCCCTACTGTCTCTCCCACCCCCAGGCTGACACCCCCAGCCTGCTCATGCCCCTGTACCTGGGCTGACAGGGTCACACTGTTTTCCTGCAGAAACATCAAGCCCTCGGAGATCTTCACTGCAATAGACTGGGCTGCCCCCTCAAAGGAGAAGGGGCCCTGGACCTTCTCAGCCAGGAACAGGAGACTGTCTTGAAGGAGGAGTAGAGGCAAAATGAGGGGACAGCCAAAGAGACACTGAACTAGCATGTTCCCACAAACTCTGGAGGGAAGCAGCAAGTGTTGGATGGGGGAAACTCACTTGAAAAGAGGCCTCCTCAATATGGCTTAAAAGTCCCTCCCCCGCCCACCCACCTCCAAAACTGACAGTCTTCCCAGGCTTTCCTGAATCCCCTCACCCAGATAGGCTCCCCAGTCAGGATCCAGTCCCTGGGGGCTGAGACAGCCATAGGCCACGTTGAGGCAGAAGCCCCGGCAAGGTGGCAGTGAGGGGACCCCCCGACAAAGTGGGCAGCCAGTCAGCCGCATTACAGCCCGCCTGCAGGCTTCATTCATTGGCACCTGTGGGTAGAGAACAGAGCTCAGTCATCCACAAACACAGTGGCTGCTCTCAGCCAAGCTTGGTGCTGGGCACAGAAGGTAATCAAATATCCCTCTCCACCTCCCTTAGCCTCTATATGGAGAGCCGGATGTGAATATCCAGCGTTGGTGAACTATGTGGCAGCAGGGGAGACCTCAAGAATGCCACACCTGAGAAAGGGGGTTGATAGGGACCAGGCTGCAGACACTGCTTCTTGGAAGGGATATATTAGAGAGGCAGAGTGGGGTCTGACAAAAGGTTCAAGGACAAGAGTGAGGCCATCATGGTTAGGGACAGAGGAGACAGGATGCAAGGTGAGAGGTCAGGGCCTTGAAGGCTAAGCCAGGAATCTGTTATTGAGTGGCCACTGAGGGGTCCTGGAGGAAACTAGGGGGCGCAGGTACTACAATCTTGGGCTGCTATGGAGATGCGCAGGCCCCCAGAGGCTGGCGGGGGGGTTTGGGGAGATGAGTAGTCAGAGGGCAGGAGAGGGTCAGTGGGTCAGAGGTAGGAGAAGCTCATGGATCATAACACAAGGGAGACTTCCCTACACTCCCCTCCTTCCTAATTCACCATGGGGTGCCATGGCATGGAGGCTGATATGGGAAGGCCCCCAGACTCTCCTGCCAGATGGCTCCTGACTCTTCCTCCTGGGGCCTCTCCTATTTCTGCCTCTCCATCCTACCACCCTGCCCAAACCCAGACCCCTCTAACCTTAAGGGTCTCACTGACCACATCTCTTCCAGTCTCCAGGCCCAGAATAAAAGCCCGGGCAGCGACCATGGCTCGAATTATCTGGAGGAAGGGAAAGGTGAGAAAAACCACAGGGTCAGTTGAGGTTCAATCAAGACTGGAGCCAAGAGATTGCACCAAGATGACAAGCAGTAGTGGTTAGGTTTGTGGGGTTATATTGGGGTAGTTAGAGTATCAAGTGGTACAGGGAGGAGGGTTCAAGAGGCTCAAAGGAATTGCAGTCTAGAAGGATCAGGGGAAACTGAGCTTGGGAAGCAATGGAAGAACTGTGTATCAGAACAAACAATGAACTTTAAGCCAAAAGACCTGGGTGTGACACACAGCTCTACCATTTACTGGCTGTGAGATCTTAGCCTCTGGGAATCTCAGTTTTCTCATATGTAAAATAGGGACACTACTACCTACCTGGTAGAGTGATGATGATAGTAAAGGAAATAACATAAATGAAAATCCTTCTCAACTATTAAGTGCCTAACTCACATTGAATTTAACCAAAGGAAGTCAAGATATTAGGACTTGGGAGGAGGTGGCAGAAAGGTGGCTGGGGGCCAAGAGCAGGTGAGTGGGTCAGAGATTTAAAACTAGTTTCAGTGCATGAAACTAGGGCACAGAATGTCCAATTAAAGGAGACCAAGGAGTACTGGGTCAGGCAGAGGTGACCGGGGCTGTAGACAGGGGTCACCAGGTCAGAGATGACTACCATCCAGGATAGGGGGAATCACCAGTGAGGGGTGACTGGGGCATGGAGGAGGTGTCACTGGATTGGAGGTGAGTGGTGCACAGTTCAGAGGTCATCAGGTCAGAGGCGGCTGAAGCTCAGGCCTTGGGGTCCCTCACCTGCAGGTGGAGACGGCGAGGTGAGTCCCCAAAAGGCTTCAGAGAGTCACCAGCAGAGGAGGAGAGACGTGTAAGGCAGAACAGGTAGTCGGGAGAGAAGATGTACTGTGGGTGCAGCAGGGGAAATGTTCTCTCCAGGAGCTGCGCCCAGAAATCCATCAAGGCATCATCTAACCCCTCACCGGAACTCTCATAGTAGTCCCGCAGCTGGGAGAACAGGGCACTGAATATGGGGGTGTGCTGGGCATATAAGCGGCCATAGGAACGGTGGAAGAGCAGGGTCAGGGAGTGCTCAGTAGACGAGAGCACTTCTCGAAAAACCTCTGTGGCAAATCCAGAGAAAGGGATGGTTGTGGGGTGGTGGTGTGGGGTAGGTGGGGATTAGGCCAGAGAAGGATGGGAAGTGAAAGGACAAAGGCAGAAAGAGATAGGGATGGGGAGAGAAAAGATAGGTGAGTTAGAAATTGAGCAACTCTCAGAGCCCTGGGCAGACTGGAACTGGTGGGGGGTGGAGGGGGAGGGCACAGGACCCTGGAGAGAGCCTGGGATGGGGTGGGGGCTAAGCCAGGGCTGGGGCGCCTTAGGGATGGAACAGGGAATGGGGACAGGATGCTTCCTGGGGTCATGAGCACAGAAAGGAGAGGCCAGGTTTGGGACCCCAAGTCCTCACCATCAAATTTTCTGTGTCGGACATCCAGTGTGTGAACCAGAAAGGAGCCACTCTCCTCTACCAAGCTTCGGAAGATGGACTCAGTCTCCCAGGTCAGCCTCTGCTCTATCTCACTGGAACAGCAGGTGTATTCCTGGGGGCAGATCCGGAGGTGCTCACCTGGACAGAAGAGACGAGGAGGAATGAAGGGAAGTATATCATGAAATCCTTCTTTCTCCTGCTGATCTTTGGGAGCTAGCCTTTCTCTTCCACCTCTGTCAGGTCTCTTTTCCATTGTCTGCCCTCTCATCCCCACCTGACCCTACCCGCACCTTACTGTCCCTCGCCCATCCCAAGTCCATTGCCATTAGCCATGGGATCAAACAGTGATGGGCCAAATTAGGGATCAGAAAGTCTCCAGGTGACCTCCCCAACGTCGCACACTCTGGGCCTCGAAGGACTACAGGACAGCTTCTATGAAAAGAATGGGGTTTGGAGGGGTGGAGTTACTTCGTAAGCAAGAAAGTATTATCATGGAAGGGGCTCTTAGAAATAGCGACGGGAGCAAATTGGGCTGTGAAGAAAGCAGAGAAGGGCTCTTGTTACTGAAAAGGGAGTCCTGAGGTAGGAGTGGAGTGAGGGAGCTGTGATGTGGACTCCTAGGAAGGTTACTGTGATCTTGGTAAGGAAGTTCAGGAGAAGGACATGGGATGAAAAGGTTATTATAATGGTCACTTTGAAAGGGGAAGAGAGTTACTGTGAGTTGAGGATCCATCCCGCCCCTCCCTCGCCCCCAATTCTCTAGTCTTCCTCTTTCTCCTCACCTGAGATCACGGCGGGAGGGAGTAGGCTTAAGCTATATCCCCGGGCTCCCAGCACCTGCCGGGTCTCAGTGCAACTCCGGGTGACCTTTGCCTCGCTCCCGGGTCCAGAACCAGGACCGGGACACAGCGGAAGCAGAAGCAGAAGAGATCTCAGCGCGGACATAGCTGCAGCCGCCCTGGTTCAGCAAAGAGGGTCCTACAGAGGAAAGAAGAGCCGCCCAAACTTCGGAAGCTGCTTCCCTGCCGCGGAACAGCTCCGCCGTCCAGAGAAAGAGCGCAACCTCCGAAAACTGAACACCGAGAGCACCACAGCCAGACCAGGCGACATCTGCGGAGACAATGGGAGCGGGGAGCCGATCAGGGGGCGGGGTCCGAGACCGGGTCCTGCCAGTGACGGTAAGGAGTCGGCCTCAGGGGCGGGGTCGAGGGAGAAATTAAGCCAATGTCGTGGGGAAGCTCGGCAGGGGGGGCGGGACTCAGTAGAACTAAGGAGGTTGGTGGGGAGGGGCGTGGCCTTTTTGGGGGGCGTGGCTATCCGGTTCGAAAGACGGAGCCCGTGTAGAACCCAGCCAATGGCAGTTGAGAAGCCAGATTGAAGGAGCTGCAAGTAGTCTAGTACGAAGCCCCGCCAACGGATTGGGGGCCGAGGGGCGGAACCGGGTGGAGTAGGGCTAAGTGGGCGGCCCGCGCGCCCAAACCCACGTGACGGCAGAGCTCAAGGCCGCACGAGGCTGCTGGAGCGGTGTGACTGGAACGTGGTGAGGCACAAGTATGCACAGGCTCAAACCTCGCGACAATTACCAGCCCTGAGACTAGTCCTTAAACTCGCGCCTGCGCACGGCCGCCTCACTTCTTCCCGCGTTTTTCTGGATTCTTCCGCCACCGGAAGGGAAGCGGCGGGCGTCTGTGCTGGAGGTGGTGTGACTGCAGAAACCTGTGGGTCCCGAGGCCGCGACCTTTCCTCAACCCTGCTCGGCCACAAGTCCCCGTTCCGGGTTCAGACAGTGAGGCTCCTCTTTGACCCAAGAATACGACGCGCCTCCTTCCGGGAGTTCCCGGCCCTGAGAGGGACGCAGGCCTCAGTGGCCTGCTCCACCGAGGCCAAGAAACCCGGCCCCAGAGCCGATCTAACGAGCGTTTTAGAAGGCTTCACAGCACACTTACCGCAGGGTCAGAGAAACCAGGCTCAGGAAGAGGAGAGAACGCCAGCTTTTCTCACTCCAACAGCATTACCGGCCCTGTTCTAATGGCACCTCTCAGCCATTCCATGTGGAATCAGGGTCCAACTTTCTAGGAGTGAAAGCCTGGGTGCTTTGGAGTTTTGCTTGTTCATTTTTTTCTGTTTGAGCTGGTTCCCTTGCACCAGGCAATTGACGTTTCCGAAGCCTCGGGAGCGGGATCTGTTTAGGGGCCCTGGTGTGTGCCTTGCTCTGTGCTTGGGGAGCAACTCCAAACCCATTGTGGGTGTCTGGGTGGTAGGTCTTTAATCCCCTGATGCCTTAGGTCAAAAGTTTTTCATGCCCACCCGGAATTCCAGAGCAGTTCGCTTGGAAGGAAGGGGGATGGTCATGGCTGGGGATGGAGAAGTGGTGGGGCAGGAGCCTTTGCCTCTCTTGTCTTCCCCTAGCTGGACCACTATGCTTACCCTCCGGTCCTCCTCCCGGCTGCATAGCTCCTCGTCCCCAAGCAGCGTGTCCTCCCCACTGCAGAGAGAAATAGGAGGTGGGCAGAGGGGCTTGTCTGCATCTTCTAGTTCATCTGTCAATGTGCCCTGTGACGACAGGAACTCGGACCAGGCTTCAGAGGGGTGAGTGGAGTTGGGGAGAGATTGTTACCTTGTCTGGCCTTCTCCTGCAGCAGGCAGGGGCAGCTTTGCCCTCCCCCTGCAAGTGACCTCGTGGAAACGAGATGCTGTCCTGGATCAGAACAGTGACCCCCTCCACCTACACTGGCTGTTTCTTGGCTGCTCTACATGTTGTAGGCATCAAGAATAATACATCCTGTTCTAAATTCATCATCCAGCTTGTCCATACCTTTCTTGAACACATTTCTATGTTGGGCGTATACGACCTCTGGTGGAAGATGGGGAAGGGGAAGTAAAGAGTTGTTTATTTGTAACCTGAGAATGGTATACATTTTTTAGTTGGTGTCCTGTAGAGCCTTTATTTGGGGACTTCATAAACAGGTATGTCTATCCTTACCTATTACCATTTACGAGCTTGTTCTGTGAAGGTTGTAATAGCATATCTTTCTAAAAATCTTTTCAGGGAAAAATAATATCATACAAGATCTGATTTGTCCCCTGGTTATTTTAATTGGCCTCCTCTGAGTCATTCCTGTTTTCTCCAGTGTATGTATAAGTAGTATATGACTTCCTGAACCACACTGATTTTTTTCCCTCTGCCTGCTGAAGTATCATTTGATCATCTTATTCAGAGAGATTAGGAAGGGATTGTCCTTCACCCACCTCAGTTCCTCATTCTTCACCTTCATTGCTTTATTCAAGTGAAAGTTTTCCTTTAATACTGTCCCTACTTCCAGGTAACAGTAAACTCATCTCTTCTTGAAGGAAATCTGAATATATTTTTCTCAGGGAGAGGAGGTATAGTTAGAGACAGAAACTGTAATTCATTTACCCTTTCACCTGGAGGGACTGGGTGTTGTATCTAAAGAGACCCGTACTCCCTCCTAGGAATAGTGATTCTTTGTCAGCCGATGAAGGCAGTGACTTTGAAGACAGCTTGAGACGCAATGTGAAGAAGAGAGCTGCAAAACGACCACTCAAAACAACCCCAGTGAGTCAGTCAGTGTTGTTTTGTTTTTGAATCTGGTCTGGGAAGTGACAAAAGAAAGCCCACAAGAGGCTCAGGAAATATATTTGATGAAAGGATAAGACTTAAGGAGTGTCAAGGGACAGAGTAGGAAAAAGGTAAATTTTAAAGAGATAAGAATGAAAGAAGAAGGTGTTAGGGTATAGAGGAACAGAAATGGGGCTTGGGGACTTTTTAAAAAGAGATAAAGTTATAAATAATCAAGTTCACAATATAAAAATCAGCAATTTCAGATCTGAGTCAGTAACTCAAACTGCTGTGGAATTGGCAGCTTAAGTCTACCTGTGCAATAATGACACCAAGTGTTAATGTTACTTCACTTTTTAAAAACATTCCTGATCTCTTTATACTTCCTAGGTGGCAAAACAGCCAAAAAAGGGGTCCCAAATGGTACGTGGGCATAGCCAGAAAGAGTCCAAGCCACCAGCCAGTTATCTCTTTGATGCTGTGAAAGCTGCCAAAAGTGACATGCAGGTAAAATAGATTGTCTCACTTCTGTTTCTTGATACCATCATAACTTTTATAGGACCATTGTCTACAAACTTGATTTAATGTAGATATTTTAGAGAACATAGCCTATATCAGAAAGGACAGATAAAACTATAGAGTGACTTGGAGTGTTAGAAGGGAGGCTGTGCATGAGTTTCCTAGAAGTATCACAGAGTGGGATCGATTTTGCCTGTAGTGACTGATGGAGAGGCAAGGGAGGGACATTGGGTAATCAAGAGAATAAGCTTGGAAATATGGGTGGCATCTTCTTCACCCCATCACTTATTAGCTCCACTTTGAACAATATTCTTTTTTCCCTCCATTGTTTTCCTGTAATTTTATTGTAATTGTGTTATAACCTAAAATTGTGTAAGGCTTACATGTAGTTAAAAATTCTTTTAAATGATCACCCACATCTCTAGGGTCAACTCAAGAAATGAAACATTAATAGTGCTGTAGTATAGCTTCTCTCCACCTCTGCCCACACCATCCACTAAGAGGTAACCACTAGAGCAAATTTTCTATATTATTATAGTTTATCACTAAGGAATGTGTTCTTAACTTAAAAATGAATCATTCTTCATATAGCATTCTGTGACTTAATTATTTTAGTTGTTTGAGATTCAGCCATGTAGGTATGTAAAGTTGATTCTTAAAATTTTTAGAAAAGTTTCAAAATTTCAAGCATGGAGTTTTTCTGTTTATATTTTTGTTACTTGACTTCATTGAATTGTGTTCAGAATATGTGGTCTTTGAAATTTAAAAGGACCTGCTTTATGACCTAGTATTTAGTCCATTTCTAAAACTATTTTGCATGAGCTTGAAGAAGACGTGTGTTCTCTAGTTGTTGGCTACAATGTTCTCTTGGGTGACATCAAATTGTTAAATGTGATATTGATATTTCTACTGGGTTTCTTTCTTTTTTTCTGGTCTGGTATAACAATTACAGAAAAAGGTATGTTAAAACAAGGGTGACTTTTATCAGTTATTCCTTTCATTTTCATGCCCCTCTCTGCTAGATATTTTGAGGCTTTGTTTCCTGGTATATAAAACTTTTTATTGTTATATAGTGACACTTTTTTATACTTTAAGACAAAAATTGTTTTGTTATATATTAATATGTATACACTAGCTTTATTTTTGGTTAATATTTGCCTAGTATCTTCCTATCTGTCTTTCTATGTATGTTTGGAGTCTGTCTCCTGCATACAACGTGAATCTAGATTATGTTCTTTAATCCATTTTGCCAATCTCCTTACAAGGAATTTAATTCATTTACATGTATTGTCTCTACTGATTAATTTATTTCTACCACTTTATGAGCTTTCACTTTATCATGCATTTTCTGTTTCTTTTTCCTTTTTCCTTGATTGATTTTGGATTTGTCTTCTGTAATGACCTAAGCACACTTAAATCCATTTGCCCGTTCCAACTTACATGTTGTTATAGTGTTTCACTTCTGTCCATTCCCCCTTTCCCAACACAGCAGACATTACTGTTTTATATGTTTACATATAGTACTTATGTACATTTATTTTCTTTGTTCGTCATTTCTCTCAAATCTTACATACAGAATCATTCTCTTGCTGCCCAGACTTTATCCTTTAAAATTTCCCTTAGATAGAGTTTGTTAACAAATTCATTTTTTGCTTGTATAAAATGTATTTTGCCCTTGTTCTTGAAAGGTTATTTTCTGCCTATAGAATTCTAAGATGATAGTTCTCAACACATTTAAGAGATTATGCCACTGCCTTCTAACTCCCTTATTGCTGCTGAAAGTCAGCTATCAGTCTACATTAGCACTGTCTAATACAACAATTTGTAACAATGGGAATGATATCATATTGTCTAGTGTAGTATCCACTAGCCACGTGTGGCTACTAAGCACTTGAAATGTGGCTGGTGTGACTGAAGAGCTAGATTCTTAATTTTTATCTGATTTAGTATTAGTATCCACATATGGCTAAGAGCTAATTATTTGTGCAGATGTAATTTATAAATATTTTGTAAGTATTAAATGCAAATCCATTGTTAAAGATCTCTTTTGCTATTACATTTTCCAAGATCCATTTTGCTTTTTTGTTCTGATGTTTTTATAGGATGTTTATATGTATAAATACCCTTTTCAATTTGTCATGCTTGAGATCCATTAGCTTCCAGGCTCTGAGAATTGGTATCTTTCAACAACTACAGAAAATTCTTTTCAAATATTCTCTCTTCCTTATTCTGTCTTCTTCTGGAATTCCATTAAGATATCATTAGAACTTCTCATTCTGTTCTCCATGTTTCTTATACCTCTTCACTATTTCTGCTAGTCTTACTAAGCTACATTTTGAATAATTTTTGTGATTTAATCTTCCAGTTCATTCATCTTCTATTCTGTGTCCAATGTGCCTTTTTTTTGGTATCATTAATATAGAATCACATGAGCAACATTGTGATTACTAGATTCCCCCCATTATCAAGTCCCCATCACATACCCCATTACAGTCATTGTCCATCAGCATAGTAGGATACTATAGAGTCACTGCTTGTCTTTTCTGTGCTATACTGCCTTCCCCTTGACCCCCCCACATTATGTGTGCTAATTGTAATGCCCCTTATTCCTCTTCTCCCTCCTTCC